TCTCTCTCTCTCTCTCTCTCTCTCTCTCTCTCTCTCTCTCAATAATAGATAAATGTAGTGATTTAAACTATGAAAGCCATCTTATGATGTGTATATACAATTATTTATCTTATAAGGAAAGGGCGTTAATAATGTTCATGTAACTTGTGCCCAATCCTCTTGCATTTTTTGGCAATAAAATATGTTTAAACTAATGAGCAAAAGGAACGGTTTACTACTAAGTTAAGATTGGCATGATGATTCAGATTTACATATCGTGAAGTTCCAATTTCTTTTTTATATTTTGTATTTTGCCGAAGTTTTATCGATTTTGAATTACAATAGATACATTTTTTTTACACTTCGGCATTCCCTTGTTTTCATCTGGTTACATTGTTTCCTATTTACTAGTACATTGAGATCACCTCTTCTATTTTATAAATGTATTTTCCCTTGCAGTTTTACTTTCTTGTCATTTAAACAAGTTTTGATTTGAGATTATGTAAAACCACTGATATTCTTATGGAAAGATGTCTCTTTTTACGTTTCAGCCAAAAAACATTTAAAGGGATGGAGGTGGGAAAGAAGATGGAGATACAATATATGTACAACACTTTGATCAAAAGTCTGCAATCATTCCTTTCGTACCGATTGTAAGTTTTAAGTGTACTTTAGTCACTGAATCGAATTCTGTTACCATGTATGTTGTACTGATGGTAAACGTTAAGTGTACTGTAGTCACTGATCAGAGGTCTGCATGATTAAAACGCCTTCTCAACCCATTAAAGTTCCGTTATAAGTTGTTGTAAACGCTTTTTCCTAAAAATATGTCCATATAGTACTTTGCACAAGTGCTTTATTTAGAAGCTTTGTGACATTGCGAATGGTTCAGCGTTTTTATCATTTTTCTTTTCGTTTTTCTTCTGCCAATATCTTAGGGCTATCAAAACAGTGGTCAATTGGCTGCGCATGGATTTCGTTTTTAACATAAAGTAAGTCATAACAAACTAACAGCTGTTCTATGATCATTCTCATTTTGCAGGTGTCCTGACAAACATGATGCCGACAAACTAGCTAGGACACTGCAACTTGTCCTGTCGTGATTTAAATAAAAGCCTTTTGAGGAGTAAATATCCGTTGTCTAAGGTGTTATTTATACTCACTGTAGAGTGATTATAATAATAATTAAGTAAGTAAGGTCAACGAAAAAGTGAAAACTATATTATTACCATTGCCATTTTTGTAACATAATTGTTTGAGTCCTTTTCAAAAGATGTATAAAAACAAATGTTGCGAACAATATTTTAACATTATATATAGTGAAAACAGAAAAACGGCATAAAGCGATCTTCGCCATTCAAAGCCTACATTTCACCAATGTTGCCACACAGGAGTTATAAATGCAAAACATCAAAATAAGTGTTCACCGTATGAGTCGTAAAGAAAACAATAAACTTTGAAAGATACATTCCAATGGAATTGCTCTAAGCTAGAAAAACTTCTCTTCGTTGCTTCATCTTCTAAATAGAAGTGTGAATGCTCTCAAAACGGAACCCTTTATCCTTAAAGCGGTCAAAATTGGAGAAAATATAACAATGAACACTCGGAAATCTGTAATATTAATTGCATTTATACAACAAAGACTTAAGCTCAGTATTACAGGGGTAAGTATAGATATTGCACTGTTCGATACTTAGCGTTAATTAAGCTAGATATTTTGTCCATCATTTGTACATAGGACGTTATTTCTCACATACTTATGTAATTGACATAAAAACATACTTAAGTAGATGAGTTAACAATCCCCTCTGATTTATATCTTTACTACATTCTTGATAATTTTAAGGATGTTTGAAGATAATAAGTTCCATTCTAGCTACATACATTTTGTATCGTCAAAATGAATGGCCAATCAACAGGTGGTTTTTGACAGTTTACCGAAAATTATCACTTTTCTTGTAATATCAGTGGTCGGACTTTAATCAGTTTGGAACTATGAATCATCGCATTGGTCACAAGGCAACGTTAAGAAAAATAAGGTATCATTAAAAAAATGTTAAAATCTCGGGGATGTCTTTAAGACAGGTGTTTTTATTGCTGGTATAACATGATAATAAAAAACATCAACCCTGCAAAATCGTAGTGTCTGAGCACAACCGTCCATATATTCTATAAAGAATAAACTCGTACCTGGTTACTTGCAAATAGTTATGTTGTTAAACTAAGTATTACCACATATAATTTTGTATTGCCTTGCTGATAATAAGGATACTACAGTAGTAACAAAATATTGTTTTAGTGATATTTTAGCTGTGTTGACACTGATAATAACAACATGCAGATACCCTTTTTGTTCTCTCAACCTTAGGACTTCACAATGGAACTTCATAAGTCGGATAACTTAATTCCCGTGTTCAGTGGAACCTCATTTGTCCTGGCAATTAGATTTCTTGTGAAATGCCCGGATTAATGTATCACCGTTATAAATCAGAAATTTTATCTAGTACCAGTACCATCCCTCTACAATTCCCAAAAATAAACCCAAATCATGGTTTCTGTTCCTTTACGATACCTCAAAATAATTGTTTTAATTCGAATAACTATATGATATTGTAGATTACAGTAAAGAAGGACCTGCTATCGCAAAAATGGTATCATGGTCTGATAATCAGTAATTATGATGATAGATAGGTAGAACCTGATTAACAAAACATCTCACTAAAACATGAAGTCTCTCAAAATTTATAAATGACATTTTAAGTGTAATTCGTTTCCGGGTAAAGGCATTTTCATCGTATAGTGACGTTGTCGTTGTTCATTCTGCACAGTTTTCAGTACGTATCAGCTGGTATTTTATTGGTCCATGGGTGTAGTATTTTGTTACTTTATGTAATTAATGTTTAATATTAATAACTATAATGAGCAACAATTCCAAGCCAATGGAAATTGAGTATGAATCCCTCGCACTACAATGCTTACGGCTAGTATGTTTGGATAGCAAATATATTTATGATATTGGTCAGCATTAATATATGCTGAATGCAAGTCAACTATACAACATCCGGATTTTCATTCCACATTACATTGATGTTTTCCTCCACAGAGGCGTTCGGACTGTTAACTGTATTTATCGAACTGTTGAACACTTTTGGCGGGACAGACATTTTTGCAACGGTTTTTTTCTTGGATGACGAACGTCTTACAGTTTCCGGTGGTTCCCATTTGAACATGAATTCCGATTGAGCATCTTCATCTTCAATCTCACTTCCGGTATCGTAACATGACGGAACATCATCAAGAGATGACTCTGTTTCCGCATAAGATGTGCGTTCTAGCTGTGTTGGCTCAGAATCCTCAAACCTTTCACTTGACACTGATGAAGCACGATGCTTCCGAAGTGACACTGTGGTGCTACCTTCGTTTTCCAACGAAGCATTGGGTTTCGCCAGGGACACCAAACTACCTTCAGTTTCGATAGAAGAGGTAGAAGTCATGAGAGAGTTTGCGGGAGAAATGGTGAAGGTGATCTTGATACCTCGAACGTAATCTTCCCCATCCGTTTCGCACATATGCAAAGCTTCACTATAATTGTCTGATTTTCTTAACTGATTCTCATTCAACCCCATATTGAATTTAAATGGGGAGTCGAGCTGCAGTTCCATAGGTATCATCGTCATTTTGTCTAGCGTTGATGCCAAAACCGTTTCCTCTTCAATCACATCCAAACACTGTAAAACGTTTGTATAACTGGCCGATAAGGAGGGGAGCTCGCCGATGACATGTCGGATTTTTAAAGGAAATCGGTCTTTCATCGATATAACATCAGATATTTTCCTCAGACCATCTGAACCCGCGGAATTGTCAGCTATTTCATAGAATTTACCACTCTTGGACAAGGGCAGTATCATCTTGTCATCCTTTTCATCGGTGCAAATGAGAAACTTTCCTCCCGTAATATTTTCCGTATTCACCTTAAGTGTTTTTTTAAGAGTTGCCGTTCCAGCTGTTTGTGATCCTTGCAGTACTTCGCCTGCTTCCATGTGCCGACTGTCTATTGTCTGAGGTTGCTTGCCGTCGGGTTCTCCATAAAGTGCGAGGTAGCTGAGACTGGAGGCCACATAGAACTTAGAAACTGGTCCCCCAGTCAGAGACGCTACCGACTTGTGCAGCTTTGGTCGTGAATAATCAGACTGCATAATATAAAACCAACCTATAAGAAAAAGCAAAAGTAATCAGAACTGGTTTACCTTATACAATGTTTAAGTACAGTTTAATGCTTATAAGCAGGTGATGTCAATACATGTCTATACTATAAGCATCGTGTGATGATCCGTTAACAACATGACCTAGTTAAAAATGGAAATTGCTTGCAATGTTTAGAAAAATGTCGTGTATTTTGTAAACCGAAAAAAAGGGATCAACACTTCAGCGAGTATCGCCACATAAATTTGAAATTATTTGATATTGTTTTGGAAGTTATCACACTTAACCAATATGAATTATAAACATTATTTCAGTGAGATTGTTACGCTATACATGTACATATTGTTTAAGAGATGTTCCAATAAACTACATTTATAGTACTATTGCCTACCCCCACCTGGTCATGCAGGGTAAAACGACTCGCCTGAAGTGACACCGAGAGTCAACTAATGTAAAACCGAACCTTTTCTTGTACGAAATAGGATATATACCAGTGCGTAAATAAAAGATTTTGATCACAAAGTGAAAGAAAACAGTTCCACATCGTCAATACATAGGAAAAATATCCGAACTGGATTGTGAACAATACGTGAACAGAGACACCTGAACAAAAAAAGGAACACACCAGAACTGTCACAGAAATAGGACGGTGAAAAGATTGCTCCGAAGTGTTTTTGCACCACAATGAAACCCGTTATGCTATACTTCCTGTTCCCCCATGAAAGTAAATAGGACATCTAAATGTACGATATTTGACACAGTTAACACTAGCCACGGGAAAAAATGAAATATAAGCTAGTGGAAATCAAGTCATGTTGACGACCGTAGATTATTGTTTTTCTTGATTGGAGGTTCCCACAAAGAAAAAAACCCTGATTAAGTAGGCTGTGGTTAGCAGGACTTATCAACTACGTAAACCCTACTACTTAAAACATGCCCTGTAACAGAGAATCAACTGTAAAATGTAAACTCCATATGTAGGAAAGATGACTATGATAATGAGGAAAGGAACGGCAAAGATAGTGTATTTAGAACCATTTACTGCACTTCAAATTATCAGCTAATGGAATATAAATGCCACTTATCTGCAGTAAATGAAATTGAGCAACAACTATCAATATATACAGATCAGGGGTAAACCCTGCTGAGCTTGATAACAAGTTAACGCAAACATCCTAAATTGAGTTTTTTGAGAAATTTCTTGAAATTTAACAACATGTTTGTATGTATGAATATTTTTTCACGCGATCATCCTATTCCTATGACACGTATTTTGAGTATGCATGTCGACACTGTTTGTAAGTATACTTAATTAAAGTTTTACTTTAACTTTGGCCTAGACTATTAACATTATATACATTTTCTGTTGTTTCAATATGTCATTTATTTAGTCTAGTACGTGCATTAGTGAACTTCCTTGATGTGTTTCCTTATCTCTCACGGGAATATATAAACACTTAGTTATCTAGTTCCAGAATGCCATGGAATTTGCCAATGTATAAGATTAAAATTAGATGAAAATAATCAGGAAAATGTTCGCTTGTCATACTGATGTTTTATATTTACACTTAGAGTCGACTTATGTGATCCCATACGTTCTTAATTTATTTTAATAAACCGGTCTGTATTCCATTGCTTGGAAAACCCTTGTTACTCATTTAAGTTGTCCAGAAAACCTATTACACTACAGATCATGCTCTCGGAGAGAGAGTGGCTGGTTGTTATTGTTATCGAGTCTCGTTAGGGTCATTACAGGGCGTGTGACAAAGAGGCGGAGAGAAGCGCTTCGGAATAAAGTCATCCAAGCATGTCACATACCATTTGTAAACAAAAATCATGATATTTTATATTCTGATCTGCAAATCTAACACTATGACATACAGGTACTATGCATTAAATTATTATATAGATGTCATTATTCGCACGGTGATCGTAAGATAAACATATAAATCTGCAATACAGTTACGAATTACGGATGTCTTCAGAGGTGAATGAGTTAATACTGACTACTGCACATGGGAACCAAATGACAACAGAAGAAATTTGATTAAGGGGACTTTCTATTAATTTAAATGGCTACTACGAAAGTGCGTTTATCAAACACTACACGGGCATACGATATAGAAGAAACTAGCTATTTGTGAGGATCATTGACATTTATATTGCACTATATGCACGTCCCTGGTATTGACGACAATCTTCCTTGTAGACGGTCATTATTCAGTAAACAAAGTCATCGGGTATATATTGACTTTGAAACCGTGTTTTCTGTTGTTAAACAGAGCGGAACGTCGTCCCCTCTGCTCTCTACACCAAACATTGAGAAAACATACAATTACCTCGGTATTATGTACCCGATCAAGCGATATGCTGGTATTTCACAAAACAGCCATGGGGGATTCACACTATAGTCAAACAGAGACATTGTGGTGGGCTACCGGTATACAGGTGAAACTCGACTTGTCTGAATGAACATTCCAAGCGTCCATTGCTGTTTATATTACCGAGTGGCTAGTCAAATGTTTGCAATAAAACATACTGTGAACTTTATTTGTACTGTGTTTTATGATCAACATGCCACACATTTGTATCGTATGTCGTAGATAGATATTTACACACCTGTGTATATGTATTATGTATAGTCACAGTACTACTCCGTATGAATTTTATGCATGATCATGATTTTTTTATGCATCCACTGTTTAATGAAATATGTGGCATTTTCTTTATATACCACCATACTTGTCTATGGGGCCTAATAAGACTTTTAATGATTTAAATGTTAGTTGCTATATATTTATTAAGAAACACGAATGCAAATTTGAGAAAAATGAAATATCCCTAAAACGTACCTTTTTCGAGCTAACGTACTCTGATATTGATGGACATTTTACATTGCCCATAATGGATAACATTAACAGCAAACAAAGACATAAAAGCTTAAAGCGAACGAATATATGGAAATTTTGAGATCAACACTTTTTAGTAAATAAAGATATTTTACCAATGACGATGAAACCTACTTTATACGTCATTTTTTCCATTGATGGAAAATAAATAGTTTGATTAAATAATAGATTGATTACGTACTTGATTGATCTATGGATTGTTTGCGTGATCGATATTACAATGACAGACAATCGGCATAAAAATGTCGTGCAGACCCAAAGGGTGATTTTGAATAATATTATGTTTTGATAAAACTTTCAAAAATTGACATAAAATTAAACCGACAATTCTGTATGAATTCCTTACCATCGTAATCTTCTGGAATGACCAGAACTGGACCAAATGCTTCGGACTGACCACTTGCATTTTTCTTGACACATCTGACGCGAAGTTTCTTGACCCTTCGGAAGCTGTGGAGCAACAATGGCTGTGAGAGGTCAAAGTGAAAGTCTTCCCAGTCCAATGGACAGGATTCGTAACAACACTTGACCACACAGGGCAGTTTAAATGCTGCCTCGATGCCACGTAAAGTGAATGATTGGGTACTCCATGTGAAATTTGTGGTCACACGATCGTGAGACTTCTTCACAACATTAACTTTCCACCTCAACATCGCTTTAAATATATTTCGTGAAAGTAATTGTCCATAGTTGTCTTGTGTTTTTTAAAGATATATTCCTTTGATACAATATAGTTCCTTCTTGTTGGAAATATGACATCAGTGTTTTATGGATATCACGCTAGTTTCAGCTGAGGATAACTGCAGCAAGAACATCTTGCGATGTTGTCCAGTTGTGGTCCTTATAATCCACACGGTGCTCTCATATAAAATGTGACTTATTAGTGTTTCAATAGTGTAGCTGTCATCGCTAACTGGAGATTGTCGATGTCACAGAGCACCGTTCAAGAACACACCTATCGATATTGCACTTTTCTTTACAAGATATGAACGCGATACTGTCAGTTTACTTGTTCACAATGTATAATCACACACTGTGTATACATTAAGCAAACAAGCCAAATTAACTTTACACCTCAGTACATATTTATATCTTGCGGCTAGATCTTCCATTACTAGCTTTGGATTCACAACTCCGTCACACGGTATAATGAATCGACAGATTGGGTTATGTAATGATACATGAGCTGGTATACAACTACATGTCAACGAATCCAGTCAACAATCCTGGTGATATCCACGGAACACTCTCAGAACAATCCGCCATCTTATGAGTTAATGTCTCGGAATTGTGTGTCAAGAATAGTCATCTGATGTTGAAGATTTGTAATACATGTGTATATCACTCCCATATAGAGAAAATGAATGACAACGCAGTAACGTGCTATATTAAACTACTTGTCACGCGAGTTAAACGTCTATCCACCATGTTTACTAATGTCTGTCTCAGCCCATTGGTCATGCTTCGGCGGCCACGTGGGTGAACCGCGGTCTCTTAACTTTGAATACAGGTTTGCATATATATATACCGTGCAATAAGCAAGTTGTATAGGAAACTCCGAGTGTCAGACATATGATAATTTCAAATATGACCTAAGACCTGTGGTATTTTTATCGATATGATTGGTAGATGTGATAAATAACCATTATAACAAGTCATCGAAACAAATATAACAACAGTGTGGAAATGGACATCAATTTGATAGCGACACCCTTTTCACCGTATGGTACATGTACGTACATAAATCTCGTGTTCACGAGATTTTTGCTACATATATGAAGCTTCAATGGAAATACAATTGTTATTTCATTGTAAAACTTTTCAGTTGTTAAAAACAGCTTTATGGAATACACAAAAAATTAACATTCGTTAATTTACAATACTTATTTTTCCGAGATTGAGAAGATATCAAATTACCTTTACAAAATCATTATGATTTAAGACTTGCAATAGCAATGATAAAAGAGAAGCACAATTTTACGCTCAGACAGAGAGTCTTTGGGCTCGAAGATCGGTTGGTCGACCATGTATAAACTGTGTTCGGAAATATTTTTGTTCAGTTAATAATTATCACAAATATTTCCCTTCCCTTTTTATGTTTTAAATAAGTTTGAGCTCGGGAATGGAACAAATACAAATTCATAATCTTTCTGAATAAAGCTTAACACATTCATTATTTCAAATCGAGACCTACATGACAGTATAAAATAAATAATATAACGCTCAATATATATAATTTACAATATACTAATATTTTATAAGGAGTTCCCTAACAAATATTTGTATCTTGGAATAAATTCTTTCAGATTGGGCGTAGCTAACGATACAAACTACTCTGGAGAGTAAACTAACCAAGGTAGTGATAGTGTAAAAGATTGTCGATTGTTCCTCAGGCGAACTGGAGGTTTTGTTCGAACCCGTAATGGAATTTAGGTGTAAGATACATATCTTCATAGACGTTGTGCCTTCTCGCTGTTCCTTTATACGTCCAATCATTGGAAATTATAGAGGTCTGAGATTTTAGTGGACTTTTTGAACAAAGGATTTTACAATAGCCCGGGGACTATTTCCGTTTATTTGACAACTACTGTACGCGACAGGTAATTAAATAAACATATTTACATTTTTTGGTGAAATTCCGAGAATTTTTAATGCAAAATATTATCAGTTAAAATGTATAGTTTATATCAAAATTGTTTAATTTAAAACCCTTTATCCTGGTTTGGTGTTTGGTGATGACTGTTTTGTACATCAGCGCCTGGTTTTATATTGAAATTTATGCATCTTGCTTCAATATACACCATTTCACTCGACCATTTTATTACCTCAACAAGTATCATTTTTCCTTAATACGAATTTTATTGAAAACAGGTTTTGATATTATATCAAACAGTCATTATATCAAATTTTATGAATGCATTACCCTGGTGTCATTATTGCTTCTATTAAGCTGGTTTTTACATTTATGTTAAATGCAGTTTGCAAATAAATACACAATTTACGCATCATGGCTCAAGTTTAAAACATTTTAAGAAATCTGTTCCAAACTGAGTGACGTTGCTGGAAACTTCTGTGTAAATTTCGCTTGACAAAAGAAGGCCTGTTCAGTGAATAAAAAAAACACTCGTGTGATTAAAATTCGCTTTTTTTTTTATTTACAAATGTTGCGAGTGAGCGACACAGTTTGTTAAGCATGAAATCCCTTATGCCAGAATTATGGCGGTTACGATATTGTTATGAATATGGTCTGGTTTTCAGATATTATCTATTTTGCACAACTGTGTGACACAGGGTAATGTGCTTACATTTCATTTCAGAATATTTTATTGTACTGGTCTTATGTACAAAAGGAATTGGGCAACAGGCATAGCCTATATAAGCCCTCTCCTTACAAAACATAACAGTACATACATATCATATAAATGTTACTTTTACAGATGTTTCTTTAAGTTTTAAAATAAGAGATTATTTGTACTTTGAATTTGATTTGACAATACATATTTCAAATATCGCAATTGTTGTAAGAGAGATTATTTTACAAAGCTATTTGAGAATCTAATAAAAACGTCTGGTGTCTCTAATGTGCTTACATCGTACGAAGTTTCTAATATGTTTTCTTTAAAACTTCAGGTAGCGTTAAAGTTTCCTCTTTTTCTGTCAGGCTAGATCTTTTTTATTTATTTGAGATATCTCCATTAATCTTGCGATTTACCTTAAGATGGGTTCAGCTTAATAACCTTTATATTTATATTGTTGATTGATTCTGTGACGCAACAGTGTTAGTGAGAACAGCTTCTGTTCATTTACCCGAATGATAAAGAGCACGTCTTCAAAGTATTTTGCATATACTCAAAATAGAGCACGAAAAGCGTACACGTGAAGAAATGATATAAATATCAATTTTGACCATACCAATGCATTTGTTTATTGGTACTTTCTTTATCTCTCAAGCATGTATGCTTATATTTTTATAATCTTTCTGTTCGTAACACATTTAAAACAAATGGGACAGAGCACCGACTGCAGTTAGACAAAATTCCACTAATTTACATATACAGATAGCATAGACTATTTAACCACGAAGAACATGTATTTAAGGGATCAGGCATAATCAGAGTCTGAACGCAGATACATTTAGTATATACCGCTAATATTTAATATTTTACCCTAACGAACATCTCTCAAATATTCTATAAAGTAGACATGAAATATATATCAAGACTTGTAAAATCGTTATAGTGACCTATATTATAGTGTATTACATTCGATATCATATTGCTGCCAGAAGTGTTAATTGCCAAAAATAAATGATGTGACGCTAATTTGTGATCTGTGATATAAAAACGGGAACAACAACTTCGTTACACATTCTTTCCCTCCGTGCATTTTCTTATACTAACTTGGCACATGTTTTAAAGGGATTTTTCCTTGTATTTTAGAAAGAAAAGCGGTACTGGAATATATTGTATTTCTACAGCTTTTTTCAATATTAGGGTGATAACAAAATACAAATCTTTCCAATATCGTTTCTTTCTCAATTTGTTACTAGATGTAGTTAACCAGTGATTAAAATTATGAGACTTTTGTTTGTCACATACACTATTTACTGAGGGGTTAACATTTCTCAGTATAAACATATTTGTACAATACTTATCCATGCCTCTTGGTTGGTACACAAAAACAAATGTAACTGTTCTTGTTCTTCTTTAAAACCCTTGTATGACTTTTACTACTGGCTCGGTCAGCCCATTCTGAGGAATTAAGATGATTACTTTAAATAATTCCTACATGTAAGTGCTATATTTCCTTTATATCAGAATTGGGACATTATATAGGCCTAGGTTACCAAAAGTATATCCCTTACGAAGAGATACCAACGTTATTTTTGACAAAATAAAATAAACGATCGTAATATTTTCCATAATTCTCAGAGATAACATGACATTTTTGTGATTGGTATATTACTATTATTACTGCATACGATCCCCATTTTAGCTGTGTTGTTTGATAATTCATTAATAAACAAAGGACTGCTTGCTTATAAGAAGTCACTACCAAATAAAATATATCTCTCGCGGCTCATCAATAGAGACTGTAAGCTTTAAGATAACTTGCTCACTTAACATCAGTATACAGGTTTCTTAAAATTGGCCAACTCTTCAATTTCAGACTCACTCCATACATTTTTGCGAGTAATTCACATGACCTGAATAAACTATGAAATACTCAGTCACGGAAGGCCACACTAACATCGCCATTTCTTTCTATATAATATTATACATATTCATAAATACAGCACATATTCTTGTAAATTAAACAAGTAAAAAAACCTGCATAACCGTTTTTTGATGCATTTGGAAAATGTCTTTTTTGAGTCCATATTCTATTTATGTTTTTAAAGATTTTCATTCCCAACGATTCTTAAAATAACAGGTTAAATAGAAATTCTGATGAACCTATAAGGGTCTTAATTTGTTGTTCCACACCCCTTATATGAGGTCGACTAAACCTTTACTACAATTGTCAGACTAAATTTCTTTCTTATAACCATGTTAAAAGGCTTGACAGAGTAGGATATCATTAAGTGTATTGGATCAGAAACACCCTTTTGAAACAAACTTGACCTAAAGTCTGGGTATACACGCGTATGTTATAATATTATTCTATGTACAATCATATAAACATTGATAAAGGTAACAAAATATTTTTCTATATCTTATCGATTATCTTATTTGTCAAATGATCGAACTTTTTGATAGATATGGTATAAAAAGTGAAATGTGCAAAAACCAAATACTAATACAATAAAACTATCAAAAAACAAAATGTTGAAATATTTAGCAAGAAAATGTGTTGGCGTTCCCTTGAAAAGATTTTTAATAACGATTTTCTCACTTCGTTATATGATGTACGGATTACTATGAATTAAGAACATATAATATGCTGTGAAAATAAAAAAGGGCAAAACAGCACGGCGTTTAGGTTGTTCCTGCTTCTTGAGTAGAGTTTTTGAATAGCACCTTGATTTTTAAAACATGTACATTGGGATCGATAGCAAAGCCTGTCCTTTGCGAGATTCATAACAAATTCCTATATACGGAGTGAGTTATGCTTTCAAGTTCAGTTTAAAGTTTAAACATATTTTATTTTACAAAGATATATACAATGGTATCGTTCAACAAGTTGTTTCAGCTCAATATAGTCCTCTCATCGATACCTATTGTAAAATATTGTACATATATGTTTTGGGTGAACGGGAAAAGGAAAGGGCGGAGAAAGAAGGGGGAGGGGTGGGGACAAGTAATTTATTTTCAAGTAATTGGCAATCGTGTGTATGTGTGCTATTGAATTTAATTCATATTTAATAAGGATTTTACGCTTGCAATCATGATCTCTTAAAGAAGACTTATATTTTTTATTTGTGTTATGAAGGCCGATGTTTCTTGCTATGCCTATCAATGTGGGATTGCGCGTTGTTTCGTTGTCAATACCCTGGTCCTGGGTTTGAGGGGACCTGACAATACATGAAAACATGAAATTGACCTAGATACAAAAGCCGCTTACCCTTCCGCAACATATGGTCGTATCCTCCTTCTGCTTTTTCAAGGGTAGCCATAAAAATATTTCTTTTGTTTTTCATATGTTGCCCAACAAAATGTAGTTTATCGATTTTTAGTTCAAATTACGTTTTCGCTGACACTTTAATATTTAATTAATATTTTTCCCTGCGTACTCTATAATTTAATCAATATTTTTTGTCTACAATTATCATACTTTAACGACAAAATATTTAATTTGATTCTTTATAGAAAATGTCACAATAACTCGTATGCCAAAATCCAACTTCAACTGACTACATGGAATCTAAATACATCACTGCCTTATTATATATTCTTCTAATAATAATCAAAGACATGTCTTAAAACCGTCCTGTTTACCGAAAACCCATCAAACGGTGACAACAGTTCACGGTAATATTATGAAAGGGCCTGGGAATTAGATAAATACACCGGAAGAGATACGAATACTAAATTGTTAACATCGAGAAGATGAAATAAGGTTCCAATGGACAAGTGATAATGATTACTTCCTTGAATTATTCTCTGACTGGCAAGCAGATCATTAAACGTGTAGACATGCATGCGATAAGCATATCATAAAACATTTTCCATATTTGTGTGTGCATGCGCGCTTGCGTTGTACATTAATTTGACGAATCACACTGGTTTAAAGGGAAATAACTCCTACAAGTCTGCTAGTAGTAATCAGAATTCCCGTTGCTGGGTTTGACAGAAATCTAATTATTGCACCAAACATTCCTCTTTCTATTGGAAATATAAACGGTCCAGTTTCCTTTATAGACATTGATATTAAGTATATACTGTCCATAGGTAAATTAATACTATTATACATGTAAGTTGACCACATATTTGCTATACAATTCAATATGCAATAGGGAAATTATGGGTCACTTCACCATCGGTGTCTGTGATAAGTATTTTTTTTATAATATACCACAGCGTTAACACATTCGACGATATAGGAGGTAAGAGTTGTAACGAAGAGGCAACCCCCTTCTCATCCTCCTCCATAAAAAATGATAAATCAGCGTTTCCTTTCCCGCATGTGACACTGGTCATGTTGTCTCCAGTCAAACAAAGCGAAAATATGTGGGTCACGGACAATGTAAGAAATAGAGAACCAATATTTACATTGAAATCTCATACACGTTGTCAGAATTCAGATCGTGTTGACGACTATAAGACGCGGAACATATATAACCAAGCTCTGGAGTAGTGAATCAAATCAGACATGTAAACTGATTTTAAACTGATATACTTTTGTCGTTATTCAATCGGTTTATTTGTTGGTTGGTTGGTACGTCCTTGTTCCGATTAATACCGAGCAAAGGACAAACATGTGTACCTCTGATAGTTAGAGACAATCCTGCTTTCCTGAGTTTGAAAGGAATTGTTATGACGGGTGCCACATGCGGTGAAGGAAATGGTTAGTTTTCCCGAACACCTCTTGTTCATCATGTCATTCAAGTTTTGTGATTTCATAATTCCTAATTCATTTTGTGTCGAGTTCGAGTCCCAGTGTGACCTGCTAGGATGATGTGATAAGATCGTGATTAGGAATATAATTTAATTCTTTAGCGGAAAATTATTTATGAAAAATACATTGCTTTCACAATAGAAACAATATCAGTTAAAAGGATTCATTTATGTTTTCTTGTATATCTATTTTATCATACAGGCAACACCGCAGCCCCGAAAACACAAATCACTACAATCATACATTTCATGGATGGTTATAATATATACGTGTATGGTATATAACAATTTGGCTGTGACGTATTGTTCAATAACAGTATGGTATCTAAATGGACAATATCGTTGTGATTTTACAAGGCCTTATAGCGATTGGACTTAGGGATGTCTTATTTCACTTTCCGTCATAATTACTTTCAAATCGAACAAAAGTAGGTCACTGCCACCCAGTTTAAAATTCATAATGTGTCGGTTTTTTTGCTATTTTTAAAGTTGGTTTACCAGTTCATTAGTTATGACAAAACAATCATTTTCTCTCCATTTGCATAATAGGGGAATGAGGTAAAACAATACTCTGTACCGTAGACTAGAGATATAGGTCACAAAAGAGGGTCTGATAGAGTAAATACGTATTTCACGAACTGTTTAGTTTCTGTATAAGTCAAAAATCTATACAACATTATATGTTGTGTATATACACTTGTATATGTACGTATCCGGTCTTTTGTGATTCTATTTACTATACAAAATCAAGCGTTCTGCTCACTATAATGGCGTTTAATTGTTAGAAACGACGTCATGGTCGGTAGTTCATCTCATACGCATTCCTACATACTGTATCACAGAGTAAGACATTGTACTTGGGAGGAGTGCAATTCACGAGCACAGTGTTTGTACATGCATGTCAAAACGCGTGCCGTTATTCCGTAAACCTTAGTGGGCGGAGGACGTCACTGCGTCATATTTACAAGTCATATGTCGCCATTAAAAAGACAATATCCCAGTTTTCTTGAGAGATCAAAGTTTAAACGTCCCGAGGTCGCTTCTATTGACAACAGCACGCAGTACCATGAACACACCTATATCTAAATGTACTGATATAGCTTTACGTTAAAGTATAAATAGGATTACTTTTGGTAAATATGTTTGCACACACAATAGCTCAATTTATCGGGGAACGTTCGCGAAATGCCGCCCACGTTATGACGGTATTCACAACCGTACTTTCACGAGTGTTCTCTCATTAGAGTTCAACAGTCGATAATAATGTCACTTTCATTTGGTGCGTCTCTTGCATAAGAAACATGTTTTACAGTGATAACAATCTATACCAATTACAGGTACACATATAAATAAGAGTCCTTGACACGAAATAATCTGATTACCTGGCCGGCTCAACTGCTCCGGGATATTACAGTAGCTATATATAGGTCCCATGCAGTGCTGGTACCGACAATGTACCCGCTACTTGACGGAAAACCTGTCCAACGGGTTAGCATGTTTTACTTTTAAGCTCCCGGGATCAGAATAGAATGGAATGATAGTTTCAACACCCACATACAACACAGGAGGTCGTAGTGTTGAATGAGGATTTAACGTGTGTAAATCTCCATTGATGTTTTGAGATAGAAGGAACATCGGTTGTACTGCGTTTGGACGTACAGGTTAATACAGTCTCGGACAATGGACATCTGTAGTTCCGTGTGATTTATCTGGAAGGTTCCTCGTCATGTTGGTAAATGTTATGCGTTAGAAAATGGACGCTTAGCTAGTTCAGGAATCTCGAAGTAGCTATTTATCTTGGCATATAAGATCTTTACATGTCGGTGTAGGGAAAGAAGTATTACGGCAAGAGAAAGGTGTCAAAATGTCTACGAGACGATCTCTCAGTCATAATGGAAGTATGAACCGCAATAAAACAGTGAACCCCGAAGGGGGTCGGGCGCAGTGGAGCAACCAGTCATTCACCGTAGATCAGGTGGTCAAACAGTTTCCCCTTCCCCAGATCGTAAAATGTACCCAGCAATGCCTTTTGACGAAGAAAAACACCACACTTCCTGTGAATTTGACACAGCCGATATTGCTGTACCGAAAAAGGACTATCCGGAAGTTACTCGCCCGAAACGTGTTTATGGACCCCGAGACGCAACGTTATACGGAAAAGGATGAAACCATCGTCATCCCGGCCGATTACGAAGGTTTGTGTAAAACGTATTTCACATTTCAAACGTATATTTTACACCCAAAACACTATATGTATGTTGTAGGTAATATGATCGAAAAAAATAGGGTAGGTCCGTCGGGAGGGGTGGGATGGCCCTGATTCAAGAAATTACAAAAATCACAAAAACACATTTTTAGTATTTTAATTAATTACATAGGATTTAAATTCGGTTATAATATCTGCAGGTGAAGTAGAGAGGGTAAATTTATGTGTATATAGTTGCCTTGTTTGTTTGTCCATCAATTGGTGCACATCCGGAGGACAAGTTATCCCAAAACTGGATGGAGTGCATTCGAGCGAGATAAAATTGTTAGGGTCGGAGGTAAAAACTAGGGTCGGTACCCGATTTATACATATTTGTTTCGGCCGTACGCCTACATTTAGGCGATCGACTGGCTATCTTGCATCAATATATAAACTGGATCCAGTTTCACGATTTGTTTAACTTGAGGAAATTCCATAACGTTTGGTTGAATTTTATTTTGTTTAACGTCCTATTAACAGCTAAAGTCACTTAAGTACTTGCCTCCATGTGTGTAATGTATGCATGCATATGTGTATTTGTGTCGGCACCCCTGTATCATAGGAGGCGACTAATATGGGAACCCCTGCAGAATTCGGGTCTTTGCTTTGGTGTCCTCTATTTGGGGGCAAAAAAGCAACCAAAATAAATCTGCTGCACCCATTGCAATATTTTGGGATTTTTATCTTTCTTTCTACTTCTAACTACCTTATATTTCCTCGCGCCTTGCTTGGCAACACCTCGCTTTTTGCTCTAATGTTTAGCGTTTGACCAGGTGAGGAAGGCAATGGGTTCTGTCCTCAGGTCGAAACATATCAAAGTCCTTAAAATTGTAGTTGTTATCTCTGCTTAACATTCAACATTTAGGGGAATGACAACAACTGGTTCAGCCGTTGTCAGTATAATGTGACCGGGCGGAATGCTGTGCCGGGTGCCTTCGGCATGGTATTTCAGTGAGAAAGCACTATAAAGTCGGCGTCAGATCCGCGCTATCACAAGGAGGCAAGCACACCAACATACCATGTCTCCTGCATACACACATGCATTACACACATGGAGGCACGTCCTTAAATGACATTAGCTGTGTATAGACCTTTAAACAAAATTAAACCAAACCAAACCAAAATGTGTGTCGAAGGCATGGTATGTTGGATGTGTTTGCCTCCAAAACCTAGCACGTCCTTAAATGGCAATAGCTGTTAACAGGACGTAAAACACAAACAAAATTGCCTCCTTGTGATAGCGCAGATCTGCTGCCGACTTTAGAGTGCTACTACACAAATGTCATGCCAAAGGCACCAGTACAGAATTCAATCCGGTCGTCCGGTCCCATACGTCACAACCCTTGTTTGCTGCTCAGAACAGTGTCAACACAGGTGTGTCAATAGTTGGTCTTTGCTGGTCATCATTGCATCTATGACCAGTTGACCTATAACTCAGATAATTGGTAGTCATGTTGTCCACATATATTTCTACGTCATATGAAATATTCAAATTACTACGATATCCTGTAGTGGTATTGTGTAACGAGAGGGCTTTGCATTTAGAAACAGTCGTCTAACGTAATCTAAAATAATATGGAGTTAAAGAGAAAGTAGGCCTTAGTTTAGATTTTCCCTTGAACCCAGAAATGCTTTCTACTGTAACAAATCGGTAAAGCCCCACGGAAATGAGTGATTTCAGAGCATCTAAAGAAACAAAAAAAGGGCATTTCAATAACATAAATTGATTAAAGCAAATATCATCAAAAATGTATCATTTGTCAGATAATTAAAGTACTGTAATAATGATGTAGGAAATTATTTTTGTCGTCTTTATGAGATTTTGAAATTTTGGAAACAGCAAAATCTTTCCGAGTTTTTACTCGAAAACCTCGATTTGGATTTTTCCAAAACGAACATGTACGGTATTTATGTTTCGTATTTACAAATAGTCGGGGTCAAGCTGGTCAGCTGACAGACAGACGTGCCAGGTGGTAGCTGCTTTACACCGCACGACTGCCCAGTACTTGTACTTAAAGCCGGTGGTTAACTGTGTCGTACCAGCTACCCACGTATAACGAGTCCACAAAATAAACATAACAAGGTCATTATTTTCCTGGCCGAGAATACACATCAAAGTAATGAATTCAAATCTTAATCCCAGATTTACAATTACAAGAGAGATTGGACACACACAACCATACTGTCTGTAACTTAAACGTAATGGACAGTCGCTCTTATGATAAAAATGGGGTCATCTAAAGAAAAACGAGAGCTGGACTTTTTTTCACAATTAGCTCACTTTTCTATTCATTCCATGATGAAATCGTCAGTGGCACAGATGTTCGCCTATTGCCCAGGTGAAGCCATTACAAGCTTAAACCACCCTCGATACTACAGGCGTCACGGTCATCTACGCTCTTCTTGCTCGTACCGAGAGCGTAAGTGAGCGAAACCCCTGGAATATATATTGAGGATATCGATGTTCTAAAACAAACTTTATTGTTATTCGCTGAAATAGTTTTACACAATGGTAGCATTTTTTGGCATCAAGTCTCAACATAGCTTCGTCAAATCTATAAAACGTGTCTCTTTCCCTATATACTGCACTATACTATCAATTCTAGGGTTACGCGTATATTTATGAAAAAGTGTGAAACTGGAATGATTCGTCACTGGAACACAGAACAATGCTTACACATGAGAATAGTTTCATGAACCCATTACATCTCCACACACACAACGGCATACACACAAAGAGAGGTATTAGCCTTGTGTCATAGGACAAGAATTCCTCAAAAGTGTTATGCTAATTGTATTAATTGTATACTATTACTAAATACTGTAAAACGCTTTTGAGTGGCTTATGTTAGCTAGATAGGGCGCTATATCAAATGTTGTATATCATTATTATTATTAACTGTCTTTATTGAAAGAAGACCGAGATTCTCTGATTTCCCCTTGTGCGTTTTGGGAAAGAGTAGACCTGTTGTATTTCACTAACTGTTGGACGAGGCGACTAATGTAGGACCCCCATGCACAGTCGGGTGTTTACTTTAGTGTCTAACACTGAGATGACATTGAATAAACCGAAACTGATCTGCTTCATCAATAGCAACACTTGGGGTCTCACTTTATATCGTGCTAATTCTTTCCTGTCGGCGGTGCCTCCCCCAAGCACACGTCTTTATCTGATCTTCCCTGACCGCTCCACAAGACTTACAGTACTGTAGTGAGTTACATTGCACTGTATTGTACCGACAGCTGATTTGTCCCCTGTAAGCCTGGTGAAAGGACCAGAACTGTTCGGGCTAGTTTTACTGTACATTGCCTACAATTTGACAATGGTGATTGAATGCCCGTTTTATCAATTATACAGAAGGTATTGTAATGCTGGCAAACTTCATTTAACAATACTAAATGAAAACACCAGTGACCCGGGGTAATCTCCACGATAATAGCAATATTGAATTGTATTGGGAAATTCATTCGAGCTTAACACCAATATAAATCCAAACAAAACACGCTTATATTCACCCTGATCTGACCGCGTGAAAGGTCAATAAAGAAACGGGTATTGATTCCTCGGTTGGAATAGCTAAGACAAAACATTTGCAGTGCCTGGCATTTCCAAAAGTCGTCAAAGTTTATATAGAAATGTACTTTTAATTATGCGCCGACGGTCATACGTGTTACACATTTCATTGGGATCGTGAATTGTATAATTAACTTTCAATCTATTTACGTTTTATTTATGATTGTTGAACTAGCGTGCGAGAATTTCTTTAAACACCTTATAGCAGGACATTTCCGCGGGGATGATATTTTCGCAATTTCGCGGGTCAATGATTTGATCGCTAATGTATGATCCACAGAATAATATGACAAGCGTAAATAAATTAGCCGCGAAAATACACTTCATAACCGTAATTCCTCATGAGATAACGCGCAATTGATTGTGACAATTCATACATATTATGAGTAAAACAAGATGTTTGAAAATAGATTCCATTACACATGCAAGACTTTTGTTAATTATTTAATTAACAATTATACACTCGTTATTGCTCAATATCATGTGATAGAGCGTATCCATTCGACTCTGCGCTAAACCACCACGAACATGTTGGTCCTTCACATGTCTAGATCGCGAAGTTTTTATTCGTGTAAATTAAATTTTCTCATTTTTGGTCAAAATCGCGAATATACGATAGTTTAACTTGGCCTTGTACTGTATCACACATGCGAAAAGTTACAATATGCCTTGTTCTAGTTTCGTGTACAAATCTTACCACATTTATGTATAGTTACAGCGAGAACTGACTAATCGCATGTACGTCTTGCTTCCATAAAACTCTTGGATAATATCAACTTTTATTGATGTGTCTGTTTTCTTTAATTTTTTGGACAGGTCGATTTCTCCGCTTGAGTTCACGCACCGCCAAGGACAGTTCTTGTCATACAGATCTCGAGACCTTATCCCATAACCAAGTGCAGGCGTTCCTCACCCTGACCAAACTCACAGCCAACGTAATAGGATCAGGTTCCGAGTCCCAGGATTATGACCAGGTCAACTACGGCCCCGGAAATGTGTTCCTAATTGATCGTGTTTACCTGGGCACCACACACTTGCAAAGTGAAGGGAGGTTGTTCGGCATCCGCGGTGGAAATAAAACACAGGTCAGGTATCTCAAATGTCGAGACGAGAAAGACATGGACGTCCTCCTTCCCTTGTCACAGACCGGCGAGTTTGTGGAGGTCATACCCAATAAAAATGGCGACGGTCGTCTGTCAGTTGACAGTAAGTGTCTTATTGCGAAGTCCAAGTACCCGGCCCTCGTCAGATTCCTCACCGGGAGAAGGCGTCCTCGATTGAAGACATTTACCGGCCTCTTTACCCTTCTGGATTCATTTGAGGAGACAACGCTATTTGGATGCGTCCTTGACCCAAGTGGGTTCACCATGATAGAAATTCCAATATCATCGCCACTCAAGTTTCAGCTAGCATTAAATAAGAACGACCTCTCCTTGAATCCAGTTGTGAAAAATGCAAACAAGTTGTGTGAAGAGAATGCAGTGGATTTTTGTAAAGATCTCAAATTAAAGTTCAATTTCGCGCAGAAAATCACCCAAATAAGCGGTCGCAGCGTTGGTCCGCTTGACGAGAACAACCCACACGAGGACACACAGAGTACAACTAACAGTGCTAGGTTTGGAATGACCACAACACACATCTATCTGTGAACAGCTTTACATCTACGTTTACCGATCAGTTTAACTACCAATGTATTTACAATAGTATACTTATGATTAATACTTACCAGAACAGTCTCTGGTACCTAGCTATATAGCAGTCTTTACTTTTCAGTGTCAATATCTACCCAGTGTTATCGTTCCTTACACTCACTGTAAGGAGTGTGACAAACGGTAGTCTTTTTTAGCCAGACGCTTCATCACTTGTAATTCTCTGTTCGGCGTAGCTTTGGTCTCGTTCAACAAGACGCTTGATCACTTGGCGTAGCTTGTGCTGACAACAAGAGTCTGGTTGAACGAGACTAGCGTAGCTTGCGCAGACAACAAGAGTCTGGTTGAACGAGACTAGACAAACGGCAGCTGTGAAAAGTTTACTCCGTTCTCAAACAGTTGCGTATTTTTCTGCATGAAATACACTTAACACCGACATAGAAAGTTATCAATAACTTTAGTTCATATATTTAAATACTAATTATTATATTAACGTATACATTTTTAAAAAATGGTATTAGAAAGCACATATAGCTATATACTTAAATAGCTTCACTAATACCGAGTTATACACTTTTCCGTGAGTATAAGTAAAGACAACTCTTTGTAGATACTGCTACACTGTACTTCTACGTAATTCACTACATATGTATATGGCATTGTATCAATGATGACAACATGACCTAGACTATTTTGCGATATATTTAAAGTATATATGTACTACATCCTGACATTTTCGACCATCACCCTGTTGGAAATTGAAAGTATCCAGTGCTGCTCAATAAATAATTTCTCGCATTGGCCAATACCCATCACCATGTAAAGCTAATGTGAAGCTTTGATGCGATATTGATGAGGTCTTACGTATTAACAAGTTCCGGCAAGATTCACGTATTATTGATTATAATATTAAAATATATATAACAGTTGTTATTTTATCAAGTGTTTCATTATTGTCACTGGCAAACCCAAAGTCTCCTCGGTTACTAAGTAGTTCCTCTATATCTCAAGACGAAGTGATCACTCTTAGACCTGAAAGACTAAGTGATCACTCTTAGACCTGCTTGACCTCTGCCTACGTCCAAAGGATCATTACCGTGTTATCACTACTTAGATCCACGTGATAACTATCACGTGATCAATTATTAAGGATTGACAACTCTGAGAAGTCAAAACATTATTGTAGTAAACTTTTTTTCTTATGTGAAATTTTGGAAAAAGGAGAATATCAGAAAATAGAAAATATAAAACAGTTGTATGTCCGTGTGCTTGTTTTATTATTATGACCGATTAAACATACCAATTCAACATAATGTGTGACTTTTGGTGAAAAGTATCGTTTTGACCGTATGAAGACCAAATTCATACATTGGCTTTCAAGTGAGCCATCAGAAATTTATGAATGTATGCACAATTGATAAAAATTGTATTTTCTTTTAAATTATGGAAGTGAAATTTCTTTAACCTATATTTTGATCTCAGAAATGTATTTATGTCACCCCTAACCCCATTTTTTAAGTGCAAAACATACTTTTTCACATTTTTTCACAGATTTAACGATTGATAAAAAATGTTCTGGTATTAAACTTTTACTAATATTCGATGGATCGAAAGAAAATGTGTTAATCTTCCTAAAACAGTAAAAAAAAAAAAATGGGGGTTCGTGATTTGAACGTGACTGAAACCTCAGAAGAGTACATCCTTAAATCCACTTGATCACTATCTCAAACAATGAGATTGCGTCACAGGTCTATATAATCCCTTCTCGTAACTTATTGAATAAAACAATATACACGCATTTACAGTTATGGTCATGGTGCATTTTTAACAAAGTGGGGGCGTCACTTATTGCACATAAACAGAGGGGGTGTCACTTATTGCACATAATCAGAGGGGGCGTCACTTATTGTACATAATCAGAGGGGGCGTCACTTATTGCACATAATCAGAGGGGGCATCATTTATTGTACATAATCAGAGGTGGCGTCACTTATTGCACATACTCAGATAGAGCGTCACATATTGCATATACCTTGAAAGTATCCAGTGCTGCTCAATTACTCAGATGGAGCGTCACGTATTGCACATACTCAGAGGGGGCGTCACTTATTGCACATAATCAGAGGGAGCGTCACTTATTGTACATAATCAGAGGGGACGTCACTTATTGCACATACTCAGATGGAGCGTCACGTATTGCACATACTCAGAGGGGGCGTCACTTATTGCACATAATCAGAAGGGGCGTCACTTATGTCTGCACGTCAGTAGAGGGGCTTCATTCACTGCCGAGATGTGGCCGTCTCTAGAATATTGAATTATTTAGGGGAAAACAACTATTTTTGTCCTAGTATAAGAGACAAAGACGAATAATTGCGGTTTTGGTAATTTATTCAAAGATACCAAAATTAATATCAGAGATGTAATGTGCCTTAGTATGATGAAAAGGCCGAATGACGTCACAAAAATATTGTCCTTTATATTCTCACAATGTCTTTTGGATCATCTGGCCACATTGAATTATGGAAAAGGCATATTGCATCAAAAAACAAATTATTCCAATAAAGGACATTAACCTTTCATGTTTCATTCAAAAAATATTACATTAAAGTAAATTCAATAATTATGTTGTATCAAAAATGAAAAAAGTTCAATAAAAGAAATATAAGTCATACTATTTAATATATCGATACATATTTTGCTCACTTTTCAATAAAAAAAATCGGATGTTTTTTTTAGGTACTTTTTAAATAAAATATACCCAATGCCAAGCATCTGGCCACCAAAAAGGAAGACACGCAGACACGCTGCGATTTCGTATCAACACAAGATCAAAATCATTTCGACCCAGGCGTCCATCTTGAAGTAAGGGCCAAAATCGAGTCACTCATTCTGTCAGGTTTCCCCCCTCAAAATGATCTAAGTACATAGTTTATATGCCTCACTGGCCCAATCCCCCTGTAACTGAATTAACTCCCCTGAACATCTGCCTGAAAGGTCCAAATAGACCCGCCTAGTTGGAAACTATGTGATGAAAAGGCACTGGGGTTTCCCTTTTCCGCTGAATTAGTTTGCGGAGAAAAGTCTGAATATACTGTAAGAAAAAAGTTTGCTGTGCTTATTGCTAATTCCTTGAAATGCAGGAGAACTAGAAGGAGCGGTCAACAGGTTGCACATGTTGCAAAAAGCAACCGCCGGACACAGTGGGGACCCTGGAATCCTTACTACGGGGACTCCCACCTTCCTCCGCGCCGGACACAGTGGGGACCCTGTAATCCTTACTAAGGGGACTCCCACCTTCCTCCGCGCCGGACACAGTGGGGACCCTGGAATCCTTACTAAGGGGACTCCCACCTTCCTCCGCGCCGGACACAGTGGGGACCATGGGATCCTTACTAAGGGGACTCCCACCTTCCTCCGCGCCGGACACAGTGGGGACCCTGAAATCCTTACTAAGGGAACTCCCACCTTCCTCCGACCAAACCGATTTGTCTTAAACTATTTTAGCCTAACCCTCAAGTTTACCTCCTCAATGCAAATATCCTCTCTCAAAAGTAATTTCTTTGTATCATACGGAAAGGCATCAACAGTAATGCTGGATTTCCTAGACATGGGAGAAAAAAGGCAAAAATAAGCCTACACCACAAATTAGCTTGACAAGAGTCGGTAAAATTAATGAAGTTTGTAAATTCTAAGATATGGGAGCTGCCTGTTTAGGACAATGAGGATGTAACCTAGCTATTCCTCTCAATGTCAGATTGACCTCAAATTGCCTGACCTTTAAGTAATCTAAATCCCTCAAAATATGTAGCGTTTTTAATCCACTGGCATAATTACGAATATAATCAGCTATGTTCATAGATCTGCTCAAAAACTGTACGAACCTGCAGCTGGAGTGAGATCTAGTACTTGTAGTCACTCAAAATACGGACATAATTTCCCAGTGTATATTTATCCTGTACACCGGTTGACCTTATACGGGTCAACCGTGTACTGTCTTCATTATGCCATTAATGAATAAATAGTTCATTTTTCATTTCACTATTTCATTGTATTTTGTTGTGACGTAGATTTATCAAATTGTAGTCACTCAAAATACGGACATAATTTCCAAGGGTATATTTATCCTGTACACCGGTTGACCTAATACGGGTCAACCGTATACTGTCGTCATTATGCCAAGTGATTAAATGTATTTAGTTTATTTTGTACTGATAGTATGTTATATGTAGGGGTCCACTAGCTTGCTTGTTATTGTACTTGGTGTAAGTGATATATGCATTAATGAATAAATAGTTCATTTTTCATTTCACTATTCCATTGTATTTTGTTGTGACGTAGATTTATCAAATAGCTGGTCACGATGTGATACCATAGGCTTCACAAAATAAGAAATACGAGTCCCACAGAATGCTAAGATTTCTAAAAATGCCTTCTGCAAAGTCATCTTTCATGTCCTCCTCTAATTTCTAATAAGCTAACCCTGCAAAAATAACACAAACCATTGTAAACCAGTCATTCCAATCTGACCAGTGAACAAATGTTAATCTGATCATGATAATCTATCAATAACATAAAGCATTTACCTCATGTATGCAATCGGGAACTGTCGGCACTTTCCGTAAACAAGAAAATACCGTATATATGTACAACCACCACCTTCCTATATCCTTCATAAACAAATTTACACAATACCAACTATGATACAACTGAAACATCTTCTCTAAAACTTGAATATATTCCACATACATTGTAAGTATTTCCCGTGTTTCAGTTTCTTTATTTCTTTGTGCCATAAGACACACCAATCGGAAACCGTCGGCACTTTCCGTAAACAAGAACATATTTTCTTCTCGTTTACGGAAGTCCCGATTACAAAGTGATACACTGTAATACATTATTATTGTACAGCACTTTACAATGACTACACCTTAGACATACAGTACGATATACAATGACAATACAGTACGACATATTTCATTGAAATACATCATAGCACGATAGAATGACATAAATCACAACAGTACATTTTAATATAATTAGCTACTCATGTTTAATACACTGCAGTGTACGTTATAGATAAGGATAACAAATTATAGTATCAAAATGAAATACACTGTAAAAGTACACAATGAAGTTTGTTGTTGTAGCACTGTGATGTTCAATGAATTAATTAGCAGCAAAAACCGTTAAAATACATACAGATTTACAATTATAAAAACGTATTATGTCCTGTGCTCCTCGGTAAGGTGCCAACTTGACAAATGAACTGGTGTACGATTAA